CCTTCATGGTGGCAGTTGTTTGGGAGCCGTCAGGAAAGAGTCGAACGAGGGCCACGGCGTGCGAACAAGTGTACTGCTTGTAGTTGACATCTGGGGGTGCTGCCGACGCCTGGCTTGCGAGAATTTCTTGGGAGCTGCAAACCTCAATGGGGACCAACTGGGAACTGCTGGATGCTGCCAACTCTGGGACAGTGTCCACGCCAAACTTCGCGTAGAGCTTGGAGACTTGCTCTGGAGACAAGTTTTGGAGGTCCTCCTTGCCTTGCTCAGACGCGCTTGGCACCTCAGCCAAGCCCTCCTTGCTCAAAAGCTTGATTATCCTGGCAACTGCAGGGGCAAGCTTCTTGCCTGAGGTGGCCTGCTTCTTCTTCAGGTAGATGTGCTCCAAACCTGCTTGAAGTCTTTGAGCAAAAGTCTTGACTTCGCCATGACTCAAGGCCGAAGCTTCTTTGATGCAAGTTTGCAGGAACTTGCCAGTCTTGCGCCTCTGAATGCGGCATATGTCCATGAGGAGATCTTCGAGCCTTGCGCACAGAATGTCTGGGTCCGGCTGCAAGTAGTCTGCAGACTTTGGTCCTCCTGGCATGTGCTTCCTGAAAATCGCGACGAGAGTTCGAGCATCGGGTTCTAATCCCGCCATGGCGGCAGGGCACTATATACAAACTGCTGAGCCATGCGAGACAAGAAGAGTGATGCTCATGTGTTCCCCTCCCTCCCTCATGTGTTCCCCTCCCTCCCTCATGGTGTAAAAAAATAGACCCTTATTTGACCTTGCAATCTAGGGCTTACACCCTTATTTAAAAAGGGTCGAATTTTCAAGGGTCTATTGGTCCCTCTGGGTAGCTGAGGGTCTTCACTCTGCAATTGCTTCTCGCTTACAGCGGGGCTCCAAGGATCCCCCTGTCTCTGATAGTGAACTCCAGCCGTTCCTTGAGGCTCTTTGCGATTTCTTGGATGTGGCGCCTGGCCCAGCTCGCGCGCAACTTTTGCACATAGAGCCAGGCAAACCATTTCGCTTGAACTTGCTTAGCGCGTTGGCCGCTTCTACGCGTGATCCTGATGTGCCTCTTCTTCCTGAGCTCATGCGAGGAGTTCGCATTGGTGTGGACCAGCTTCTGCCTCCTTCTCCAGCCTGGGTCCAGGTCCCTGTGGCAGCTCCTAATCCGGCTGCGTTGAAGGTTTGTGATTCTGCCTGGCGTTCGGCCCTAGACAACCCCGACTTGGTTGACTCCCTTGTCCAGGAGGAGGTTCGTGCAGGAAGTCCCGGATTGCTTGTCAGGTCTTACAGACTTCCCTCACGTGGCTGTGGGAAAATTAGGCATCGCTTTCTCCGAAGGTCGCCCTCCGCGCCTTGTTTGCGACTCTTCGGTCAGCTGAGGCTTCCTGTATGCCCAACTACGTTTTCCTGCCGCATGTTCGGGATGTCCTTGCAGCTTGCCCCCGCCACCCTGGCACCGTGTGCATGACAGGTTTCACCATGGATGTCTCGAAGGCGCACAAACGCATTCGGTTGCACCCTCACGACGCTGCCCTCTTGTGCTTGTTCCACCGGGGACGGCTGTACCGGTATGTCACACAGAACTTTGGTGCTCGGGCCAGCAGTTTTTGGTGGGGACGCACTGGTGGCCTGTTGGTGCGACTTTCTCATTTTATAGTTTACTGCAGGCATTTGATGCTTCTATATGTGGATGACCTCTTGGGCGCCTTCTATGCTCCGACAGCTACGCTGTGGTGCTCCCTGGTCATCATTCTTTGGATGTGCGTTGGAGTGCCTATTTCCTGGCACAAGACCCACCTCGCGGCGCAGGTCACTTCGACCGGCTATGTTTTTAACGTTGCATCGTGGTCAGTTTCCATTTCTGAAGCAAAGTTGTTGAGCTTTTCCAATGATCTGTCAACCTCGCGTGCCTTGGTGGAGCGCCTTGTGGGTTGTTTAGTATGGGCCACAGATCTTTGGCGTCATATGCGTCCCACATTGACAGCTTTATATGCCTGCCTGTACCGGGACACGGGCGCATTTGTTTCCTTGATCGCTGTGCATTTGCATGTGACATTGTTACTTTGCTTCGCAATCCGCCGGGCTTGTTTTTTACTCCTTTGGAGGTCGGCCCCCCCCTTTTCAACCAGGGTTAGTATGGCTTTTGACCCCGTTGTTCTGCCATATAGCCCTCGGCCCATGCCCCTTTTGCCGGCGCGATAGGTTTGGGTGGAGTTTCACTGCGTGTCGCTGCCGGCAATGAGTTTGGTGCTAACTCCCCACGCAAGATGAGAACCTGTTTGCCCTACCTTTCACCACCCCTTCTTCACTTAGGGCGCCGCGTGCCTTAAGAGCGATCGGTACCCTGCGGTGCCAAATCCGAGGGGGGTGGCTTCACAGTAGGGCGCTAACCATGGGTTGGCACCGGTTCTCTCGCCTATCCGCCATGCTCTGTTTGGGTTATTTGGCATGCTCCGCATCCAAGTCGAACCTGTCACTTGTTTGAGCGAGTGGCCTTCGCGGTCCTGCTCACGCGCTTAGCTCTGTGCAGGTTAAGAGTCCGTAACGGAATGTCCAGCTCCTGAACGGTTTGCGTGATTTTCTCGCTATTGTTTGGGAGCTTGAAACCGGCCGGCTCTGTGCTATTTTGGCTCAGACGGCCCGGGCGGTTGACTTTCCTTTTTGGATTGCCCACCACCATCCCCTTTCACCTCCAGCTCGCTGCTGGTTTGTCCTCTGTACTGGGTGCTAACTCCCCACGCAAGATGAGAACCTGTTTGCCCTACCTTTCACCACCCCTTCTTCACTTAGGGCGCCGCGTGCCTTAAGAGCGATCGGTACCCTGCGGTGCCAAATCCGAGAGGGGTGGCTTCACATTTTTAGTAGGGCGCTAACCATGGGTTGGCACCGGTTCTCTCGCCTATCCGCCAAGACAAAAGAGTGTATGCTCTGTTTGGGATATTTGGCATGCTCCGCATTCAAGCCGAACCTGTCACTTGTTTGAGCGAGTGGCCTTCACGATCCTGCTCACGCGCTTAGCTCTGTGCAGGTTAAGAGTCCGTAACGGAATGTCCAGCTCCTGAACTGTTGAATTCGCCCATGACGTCGGATTCGACGAAATGAAGGAACTCCAACAGTTCCACAAACCACGCACGACCTGAACACGACTCAACTAACATGTCTCGTGAGAGTCCTGTCCCCAGTAAGGAGACCTGCTTCGCAGTAAGTATCACTTCAACTTCTTCTTTGTCGACCTACGACAGGAGAACGTCCACTCCCCTTCGATACCTTGCTGTACAACATTTTGGTTTGCATGCATGTGCATTTGCTTACTTCTATTCTGTCGTACTTTACTTTCGAGTCAGTGGTGTCTGCGAGACACCGACACCGACTCCAGAACAGGTACGGTCCCACCCACTTGAGGCAGTGTGGTGAAAGCTGACCGACGCTGGTTGCTGTCGAGATCTCTGGAGCGGTTTGTTGTTGCTTCACACTTGTGAAAAGTCACAACCGCAAGCGAAAAGGTTCAGACCCGCACTTGAATTGGAATGTCAAGTGCTGTGCACTGCATGTGATGAGTGCCTGCGTACCGATCGCCATTTTGGCGAATAGAAACTTATTCAAACCCACCCACCCTCACCTTTCACTGCATGCCTCCAGTACCTTCCGGTCATTGAATTCAGCAGTGATCGAGTGGACGGGAGAACGTCCACTCCCTTTCGGTACCTTGCTGTACAACATTTTGGCTTGCATGCATTTGCATTTGCTTACCTTAATTTGTTGTACTTTACTTTCGAGTCAGTGGTGTCTGCGAGACACCGACACCGACTCCAGAGAAAATGCTGATCGACCAACAGGTACGATCCCACCCACTTGAGGCAGTGTGGTGAAAGCTGACTGACGCTGGTTGCTGTCAAAATCTCTGGAGCGGTTTGTTGTTTGAGGCGCCGTGACGCAGCCAGACACCAAGATCAATCGCGAGTCAGTTTCCGCCTTTGGGATTGCGTGCGTGATGCAGCACTGGGCGCAACCAGCCGGCATGCTCGTCCTTGGTCCGGGAATCCCTCACCTTTGTCACTTGTTTTCCCTTAGGGCGTTGACTTCATGTGACATGCTTACTGGTTCTGCTACTAGAAAAGCAGCTTTGCAAACCGTCCATTTCATCCTGGAACGACAAACTGCAAGCAACTCAGAGGAGCAATTCTAGAGTCTGGCGGTGGTTTGGATTACATTTGCATGGTCTTTTTATTGGGGTTGGCGTTTGTACAGACGCCTATCTGGGCACGGTATCACGGGCCCACCTGGGGGTAAAGCGAGCTCACCCAAGATAAAGGCGCTTTACTTAGGTGAGCAGAGTGTTTTTGTTTAACACACATGTTTCTGGCATGTGTTCGCTTAGTATGTTTTGTTTTTTTCTCCTTTTGTTTTTGGGGGGGAACTGTCTTTATGCCGCGGAGGCACCGTGTAGGCAGTTCCGGTGGGGAAAGCGATCGCGTAGGCAGTCCGGGTAGGCTGCTGAAGAAATTCCAGCGCAGCAGAGCCCGAGACAAGTCTGCGTAGGCGCTAGGCTCCTCCAAAAAATGCTCAAGTTATTTCTGAATTCAGGATGATAATTATAGCGATGTGCCTGACTCGGGGGATGGGCTTCCTTTTGTTTTTCGTTGAGCTCCCAGCGCAAGAAAGTCCCAGAAGGGAATGAACATGAAACGGGTGGTCTGGATGCTCGCAGGATGAGGACAATCGCCACTTGCCGCGCAGCAAAAGTTGGAGCGGGTCATCTTCTGCTAGCTGTGCCTTGGCGATACCGTCTGAAGGCCAAGAGAAGTGACTTGCTAGAATTCAATCCTTATAACTTTTGCCAGCTGGTTCCTGGTTCCCTTGCGACTGGTGCGGCCCGACTAAAGTGAAATTACAAGGTTGGTTCTCAAAATCTCGGAGGGCAAGGTATCTGTGGAGTACTTGAACACCAATCCAAGTCATGAGCATCTCACCCCAGTTGCCAGTCGCCTGGCTCCCTTTCCAGGCCAAGACGAGTTGGACAGGGAGCAGGGCGGGGAGCAGTGGTTTGCTGTCAGTTCTGCAGCGCAGGAGCCAACTTCTCTCTTTGCCAATGAGTCGCTGACGAAGTTTCCCAAACACCTTACCGTGTGGATGGACGAAGTCCAGGTCGCACCACTTGGAATGGATGCAGCCCGATTTGGACAAACCACCGACCAATTGGTGCAGGATTTTGTCCATTCATTCAACCTAAATATGAGTTGCCTCATTTTGACCCTAAAATGGACAGGTGTCCCTTTCGTTTCCCTTTGAACAGCATCAAAAAGGCTGCCTGAAGAGACTGCAGAAGTGCTCCAGTTGCCTGGTGGGACCATGCTAGGGAGAACGGCAAGGGACATTTATGTTTTTTGTTGGCCCTATTTCATGCAAAGGGGGGCTCCCTAGTTTTAGACAAGAGGCCCTAGCCACCGTTCGCTGGCCGTTTAGGTCGCCACTTTCCAGTGATAGCCTTGGGCCACGTTTTCATTTGACCTCACTGGGGCGAGGTTCCCGTAAAACAAGGCATCTCATGCTCTCCAGGTTTTGACCTTCGGAAGGGGCAACTGCATTGGAAGCTGGCAGCAAGCCTGCAACATCTGACGCAAGATCCAGCGGTTCCGGTAGAATCATCTAGCAAGAAGAATGGAAGCAGTTTTTTCAATTCCCAAGGACATGGAAAGCGAAGCTGTGGGAATCAAGCACCTTCCCCGGGAAACATCCTTCCTCCAGATTAAAACCTTCACTCGAAATTTTAGAGGTGATGTGGCCTTCACACCAATATCCATATGGCAAACGACTTTGGGGCAATGGACCCTTCTTTGCCCTTGAAGTTACCATCCCTCTTCGCCTCAACCAAGTCCAGGGGGCATGATCTTATCAAATCCCCTTATGGCTCCCATATTTTTGGGCAACCACATGCGGAGTCCCGGGGGCATTGTGGAAGTCTGTTAAATTGAGCTCAGACGTGGAAACACGGCTTTGCCGGTCCAGTTTGGCAATTCCAATCTTCTTGGCGGCCTGTTTTTCTGCAGATTAACATGGAACCAAGCCGGGTGTCCAATGGCAGTTTATCCCAATGACTTCTTGGGTTCCATGTTAATCAGCAGGGGGGTATTGATGGTCTGGGAGTTAGCTAACTGGGTATGTCGCTGAATGCTGAATGCCGGCCTTGGGCTTCCCGACTTGGAGAACCAAGGTAAACCCCAAGTGAAGCCCGCTACACCCTTCCATCTAAGGTTTGGATGCCCAGGCTGTGGAACCTGAACAATTGCTGAAAGACGAAAACACAATGCTCTTTCTGCGGGGGCAGGGTGCCATCCGGTCCCAACGCTCGTTCCGAACGTTGGGGCACACAACACGCAACAGGGTCGCTTCCAGCCTAAAAGATGAACAAAGACAAGCTTAGACCATGGTCCCTTGCTTTCCTTCGAGTCTTGTGCCGTCCTTGGAGCAATACTGAACAAGACATGACATTCACAGCTGACCTGCCCAAAGTTTGGGGATACAAGAGGCAGTGCAGCAAGGTGGGTGTTGCCTCGTCTGGATTTGCACAAGTTACCATCTAAATTGTCTCAAACTGGAAGATTCCTTGGCGCGTTGTTCTGGTCATGCTCATTGTATTTGCGCGTGTGTGTGTGTGTGTGTGTGTGTGTGTGTGTGTGTGTGTGTGTGTGTGTGTGTGTGTGTGTGTGTGTGTGTGTGTGTGTGTGTGTGTGTTTTGTAGAGGGTGCTCTTTCCCAGGTGGGTTTAAAGTGAACCAGAAAGAAGGCGACTGCTTTGACAAAGTCCCCTTTCCGCACGGCCACCATTTTGAGCACGGCCTCAACTGGATTCACCAATGGTGAGGTCGCCATTCGCAGAAATGCTCTGAAGGGAACCGGCCACTGGATGGATCGGTTTTGATGGGTCTAGCGCCTGTGGTTATCACCGACAGGACTTCCACCACCACCACTTTGTATTTGAGGAGCTGCTCGGTGAAAAGTCAGACTACAGTCCAAGGCCCGTGGTGTGTGGCAGGATTCATGTTTTCATTTCCCCCCCAAAAAAATCTTACTCCCAGGGGTGATTAATTTTCCCAACCGAAACTTCCCTTGGTTTTAGTCTACCTTGGTGGTAGTGCAAAAAGTGAACTTGTGCTCAGTGGTACCCATTTTCTGCTTCCTGGATCTTGGAATTTATGGTGACATGTTATGTCTCTGCCCTGTAGTCCACGGATGATGGGGGAAATGGCTTAAATCCTAGGTTGACCAAGGGATGGCTCGTAGGTTGCTCATATATCTTCGCATAGGCTGATAGAGTACCATCCGTTGCTCAACGTGGCTGGGGGTGTCGACCAATTTGTTCGAGAAATGTGTCCGACATCTTCGTTTAGTCAACGGAAGACACTTTTCTAGATGAAGGCTGATGGTGATGCTGGGGGTGTCGGCCAATTTAGCCTACGAGGATAGAAGTTATATGTTCGAGGTTACTGAGGTTAGAGGTTAAAGTTAGAGGTTGGTGGTGTCAAATCTTACCGGCCCCCCCCCCCCCCCAAGTTCGCTCGCCTTACGGCTCGCCCCCAAGCCAAGAGCTTTGGCAAGGGATTTTCTTACATGATTTAGCGGAGGGATTTACATAGAACCGTGTGTTGCTAACCCACTTATGTCTAAGGGTTTTTCTACATACCCCGAAATCACATAACCAACAAAAGTTGACTATATAGTGGTTATATAGGGATTATGCACTGTTGCCAAGGCGGCGTGCCCCATTTTCACTTGCACCTGCGTTTCTTGGCACCGGATTTCCTTCTTCCCATTCCCCGAAGCCCCTGGCTGCCCCAAACCTCTCCCGAAATCACCCGGCATCTCTCCCCCAAATTCCCCGCCAACCCCCGGTTCCCCACCCAATCACCAAAAAAAAATAGCTATCCCAAGACCCACAACCGCCCGCATACCCCAAAAAAGGAGCCCCAGAACAAAGGACGCACCCATAATCAACTATTTTGGGGTATGTACTTTTCTTCCCACGGTATGCTGTGTTTTGCCGGCCCGGGAGATATTGGAGAAATTTGGGGTATGTACTCTTCGGCCCCGGTGGGCTTTTGTCCGGGGTTCCTCACCACCGGTCTTAAAATGAAATCTGAAGCATCACCTGGGCGTTGTTCTGCCCACACTGCTTTTGTCATCCCGGGGCTGAACACAAACCATCACGAGTAGTGCCTGGCACAGGCTAACAGCGACAGTGGCAAGCACACATTCCTACCCCGAGAAGGTGTTTCCATTCTTTTGGGGTATGTATTTTTACTCTTAGATTATGGTTTGGAGCCCCCTTACCTGGTACATTGCCATTTCTTGCATTGGGCTTGTTTGAGGAATTTGCAGATGGGTGTGTCTTTTTGGGGCCACCTTTTGGTTTAAGCTGAAATCAAAAGCAAACCGCAGAATGGTGTGTTCGCTGTTTGTGCCAGGTTTCGACTCTGTGCGGATCGGCTCAGGAACTCCTCTTCCTTCTCTCAGTCTCATGACGATTCTGAAGGACACTCCATGTCGGTCTCCCAGCGGGACGTGTCGGCGCTGGATAGAGGCGAGGAGACGGGAAGAGGTTTTCGGACTAGGTGAATCCCCAAAAACCCTGAACTGGATACCTCTTAAGAAAACTGCAGGAGGTAATAAGGGGCAAAGAAAGACGGCAATTGTCTAGTGACGGGGCCTGTCTCTTCTTCTTGAGGGTTCCGATTTGTTTTGGGTTGAGCAAGGGGGGAAAACAAAGGGAAACAGCCGATTGGCAACAGAAGATAATTGACATATACTGGAGACATGGGCCTATGCTATGCATCCCAAGCCAAAGCTGCAGAGCCACCCTAGGCCAACAGACTAAAACCAGGCTGTGGAACTACCCCAAACCAGCCCTGGAGCCATCCAAAACTCCAAAGCCAAGCATAAGCAGTCCCTGAGGCTTGAGACGCACTTAAGCTATGGACACCAAGAGCCAAGATCTGCAAGCCACAGGGAAGAGACCCACACTGCCAACCTGTCCTGCCAGCCATGTGACACAGGCGCAGGATTTGCAACTTGTCCATTGCAAAAGGAAGCGTCCAAATCCCTGCTTGGGTGTTTAAGCGACTTAAGCAGGTGATGCTTAAAACCCAACCAAACAGCCCCCAGCTCGGATGCTCACATGCAGGGAGAATCCCTCAAGGGCGGCCCTTCATTTTCAGACATGAGAAGTTGTGAGGAGAGGCCTTTGTGCCCCATCAAGTTCTTCTGACAGTCGCCAGCCAGGTTCTGAGCCGCCGACCCCCGCGCTATCGCCAGGGTTGGCGCTATCGCCAGGGTTGGAGAAGGCGTGGACTTCGACCTGGGATGCTCAACCCACTTCGGTTTTCGGTCATGCTGATTTATGTATGGCTATGAATTTCAATTAGGGAGCCACCTTAAAAGTGGGTGGATATAAAACCCCGCAACAGATTCTGATGTCCACCAGGGTCCCCCCCCCCAGAAAATAGTCACATCCATATGTCCACTCACCCCTGTTTACCAGATGTGGCCATGTGAAATCATCAAGGGGGTTGAACATCCCATTGGATGAATGAAACCCATGAAGCTGAGCAAAATAAAACGAGCTCCGAGGGTAAAACGATCTCAAGAGGTCCATTTCTTGGATTCGATGATGCAAAGTCAACGGAGGATGAAATGCAGAACGTGTTCTGCCTTGCTCGAAAGGCAGTCTGGGGGTTCCTTATCTGCAGGTAGGGAGCTCAGTTCTGGTAGTATTAATATGTAGTATTTCCCGTTTGTAAATGGAGCCCATGGAACTTCGGGCCGTCCAGCTTCCATGTGAGAGTCCCCCAAATTCCCTTCAGGGCAATCAACCACTGGTATGAACATTTGAGGCCTATTGGTGCTTTATTTGCTCTGACTAAGCGCTAGTTCTGGCTTCACTATGGAAAACTCGCACAAGAAGGTGTCCAAGATGGCAATGGGTTCAATTGACGCACGCAAGGAATTGCTTGTGGAAAGGAGAAGAGCTCTTCCAAGTTGGTGGTTGGGATGGGCACCCGCTCCCTCAGACGTCAACTGGGCGTTTCCACCAGCGGTCAAGCCTAACCATCGTGAAGCTTCTTTGGATCGCTTGGCCTGCGAACTATTGAGACTTTGCCGAAAGCAAGCTCATCATTTGAATTTCTGAATTCGTTGGTTCAGCGGCTGTAACGTGTGAACTAGAAGTATTTCGGAAGATGCCGGGATTTCGAGCCAGCGGATGAAAGGGCGCCATTTTCTTGGTCGGCGATCATGATTCTCTTCATTGCGGATACGGGTTTTCCCGACGTTTGAGAGAACACCTCGTGTTCCCTGGGTTCAACAGTTTTTTGTTTTTGTTTAATCCTGCGGGTTTCAAGACTGAAATACTCGGCACCACCAAGATCGGACTTTCGGAATTTTTGTTGGGGTGTGTGGGTGGGGTTGGTTGTTCCTGAAGGGACTGAATCAGAAGCCTTCGTTGCGTGTCTTTCAGAGAACTTGCTTTGGCCAGGCAGTATGCGTGTAGTGCTGCAAGGTCTGAACAGATGGCAAGTTTCTTTCAACAGAGTCTCCCCGTACGTACAAGACGCACATAGCAACCTCATTGCCATGCATGCAGCAGATGCATGCTTGGGAAACTGCAGTCACAGCACCCCTCCTTAGGTCCTAGGCCCTAGATGGCCCTAGTAGTTGGCTCGCTCTCGCATGTCTTAGTTGGAGGTCCAGTTGCGCGCTCTTTTATCGTTTCCGTAGGCCTTTGACGATGACTTTGTGCCCGAGTACGGTCAGTCCGTTGGCGCAAAGGCGACGGGAAATTGGAAGTCCAAGAATAGCGGGCCGCTTTTGGATCGCCGAAACGCAAACCAAAAGTAAGCCAGCCCATTCTGGGGGTCCCTTGTTTTAGAAGCAACATGTTTGTTAAGCTTCACTGGGATGTGTGACCTCACTTAAGCAACGCCCAAAGCCGATGTTTGCTGGCCAATTTAGTACGTGTTGCTTGTTTTTTTGCAAGGTTTACGGCACGACCTTCTCCTTTATAGTTAACTGTTCACTTGATTTCACTTGTCTCGAAATGATCTTGCTTTGTAGTCCTCCCAGAAAGGGCTTGGCTTCAAGCCAGTTGCCCAAAGGCACGCCTTTGCTCTTTGGCCAGGGGTCCCCCTCCTTCCCCAACTAGGTAAGAACAGAGCAGCAGTTGAATTTGCTCTGGGAGTTTGGGCACAACATTTGTCTTAAGAGACGCTTCGTAAAGCAGACCCCGGACCAGCATTTGGGCGTTTAGGGAGGCCCTGCATTTTCCAAGAAAGAGTGTGGCAAGTTATTCTCCCTTTGGGTGTCATCACTCATCGATGTTCATGAATCCGAGTCTCACCGATTTTCGTCCAAGCCACCAGTCTTCCTAGCAACTTAGGCTGCACCGAGTGAAGGGTCCCAAAGACCAGTGGGAATTGCAAATGAGCCGCTGACAATTGTTCAAAGACTTTGGCCACAGGGGGTTCTCAGGGTCGAAAACTGAGGCAGTGGCTGTAAGAATGATATTGTGACGGTCGCTCTTTTTTTAGGCCCTGCATGTGTGTAAGTCACGTTCTGCTTGCTTGACCAGAGGATCCTTCTGCACAAGATCAGGACGAGCTCACCTAGATATAAGATGATCACGATTGATTGAGGTCCTTTCTAGGGAAGTCCCCTATTCATACTCACAAAAGCTAGCTGTGCTAGCATTGACTTCTCCGTGCTCCAGCAGGGCAGGCCTCAGGGCTACCAGCACATTCCCAACATTTCGCCCACATGTAGGCGATTGTTTGCGTCTAAGTATCTTTTTATTGGGACCTGGTTCAAATGTTGGACCTTTCTGGTGACTTTCTGGGTGTTCATTTGAAGGTGCTGTTCGAACTATCTTGGCGACGACTGAGTCGTACATGTCCTTGTTGGGCTGGCTAGCTTTTGTTCACCTGCATCGCAACTTTAAATTGGGAGGGGTGGTTCTCAAGACTACTTTGGGGCGGGGGGTCCCTTTCACACGCATTTGAAGGGCTATGTTGGCACTGTCGCTTTCATTGGCCCAGTCGGGAGGATCCCTTCCCAGATCAGACAGCATCATTGAGGGCTTGCACTTGAGAGATGTGTGACCTGTTGTGTGAAGGCACATGTACACCTTGTTTGGTTGTTTGATTGACGGAAAGAAACTGGTTGACTCCGCAGAAAGTTGTCCCCAGCTTGTTTCTGGCAGCCAGTTTGACTTTTGGCAGGTTTTGTCTGGGTGGGTCAATGCACATGGGCAGCTTCCCTATGAAGTCAACCAACCACAAACAAGGCAAGTCCTGTTCCTCATGGAAATCCGCTGAGGGGGCAGTGCAACCCTTTGTTCCTGGTTGTCTTTTATTTGTGTGTCAGATCTAGGGACCTCTTTGCTGTCCCTTTGTGATACCTCTTTGCAAGGCCATATTCAAGAGTGGCCCATATCACGTTTCGGTAACCCCCAAAGGGAAGGAAGGTCCAAGTGAAAGCACACACACACAGGGCTTTGCCCACCCCTAGTTTAGACACGTTTAAACAGCCTTCTTTGGGTTGCTCTTTCAAGGAAGCCAGTTGTTCACATTCCCCATGTCCCTCTTGTATGCATCACCTGGGCCAGGCTTAAGTGAGTTTCCTTTGGGGGTTCAAAGGGGAAATATGCGAGTTCTGTGCTTGGCCGGCTGGATCTTGACTTTTCAACTGATTAGCAAAAGGTAAGATTGAGCCATGTGAAGTGTGTGTTGTTGGTAGGGTTGCTCATCTTGTCCAACTTGTTGCATGGGGTTGAGCCATCCAGCGTGGTCGTTGCAACAAGTGTAGCCATCCTATTGCCAAGGACCCGCCAATGGGGGTTCCTCTTGAATGCCGTTTTGGTGGGGTCCCCTCTTGCGGGGGCCCGTGATTCCCAACATCGCCAGGGCCATGGCCGTGGAAAGTGTACCCCTTGTACCCGGATTTTGGTGCGACCCGGCAGCTTGACCACAAATCAGGCGTCTGAGTAAAAGCAAACAGGTGAGTTCCTTTACTGCTTGGAGTAAGACCTGGTGCGATTGGTAGGTCGTTCTGACTAACTCATACCAAAAAGCATTCACTGTTCACAGCGGACACATAGTTGTATTAATCCAGCAGGGAAGCTTAATGTAAATTCTTGACAACAGGCCGTCCTCACTTTGACGAACTTTGACCTGCATGCTCGCATTAGCAGGACTATCTATTTGCACTGGGTGTTCCTGTCATGTGCGTACTCTTGCTGGTAGGATTGTTGTTTATCCATGTGCACGTGTTTCACTTTTGGCGAAACGCGCGGTGATGCCCTGTCACGAGCCGTCCAGAGGCAAAAGAGGCCGCATGTACAGCACCCTAGCAGCACCCTGTCCCAGCTTTCATGGTCCAATGCCATCCGAGGATGTGAGTACGGTGCAAAGTGCATGTTCTGCCACTTGGTAGCTTGGCAGCACACAAGTCCCTGGCCGTTTCACCTGCTTGCTTAGCAGCAGAAAAGCATATAGGGGGTCCTTGCCGCCCCCCTTAGTATGGCCCAAAAAGCGGGCTGGCTAAGGCTTCCCAAGCAGGTTCTTAGCCTGCTTAAGGCTTTCTAAGGCTCCCTTGTCCAACGGGAGTCCGCTTTGTGGTCTCATGATTCTTTCAGGGCTGTGTAGCCCATTGTGCCGTGGATCCGTGGACTTGTTTTGTTTGAAGGCTATTCTGAGCCCACACTAGAATCCACTGAGCAGCTGAGGGTCGGCTGTCGGCTTGATGCTTGCCCTGAGCGTAAACCCAACGCAAGTAGGAGCATTTGCACATTCGCAATGTTGCTTCCCTTCAGGTTAAGCAGGAGGTCTTAAACCTGAATTGCACACGAGGACCGTCAAACCTTCTTGAACAGGGAAGGTGCCAGAAAGAAAGGCCGCCCCTCAGTAAGTTTGTGTTGGGACAGATATGGCCAACAAAAAGTCTGAGGACATGCACAACTTCAAGAACAATAAAGAAGTGACATGAAGACTAATCAGGAGAGTCTTACTGTGAACCAGGTCAGTCATGTCTTCCCGTGACATTGGAAGGTCAGGGATGGGTTTCCATGGGGTTCATAGGTTTGAATAGGTCAGCCCCAAACTCGCAGGCAGTGAATGCAGCAGGTGACCGAAGCCTGGCTTGGCTGTTTGCCTTCGGAGTAATTTGCTGAACGTGTTTTAGGAGCTCGCCGGTCGCGGATAAGATGACCTCGGGCCCTAGGAAGTTGTTGTCAGTGCAGAAGAGAAATGCGTGCGAAAGTTTCCCTATGTGCCATGGATTCAACCACAATCTTTGTCCAACGCAAATGCTGGGCGGGAAGGCTTCCAGGTTGTGGTGCAACTGGATTTGCAGCGGGGTAATTCGTGGATACCAGCCCCCTGGCTGTGTTTGCCTTTGCTATCCAAGTGGCTCATCGCTTTCTGTCCGGACCCGATCGCTGTACCTGGTCTCAGGAGCACTCCAAGACGACGGACAGCAACAAGAATAGGCACCGTCCCTGCAAGGCCGCAAGGCAGCAGTACAAGGAAACCATCCAGCACCCTGGCGAGAAGTGGCGGCAGGGTTTGACATGTGCTGAAAACCACCAGACCGCGCTTTCCCGTTCAAGAAGGGCCACAGGAGGTAGTTTGAATTGACTTGTTTTGGACCGAAACTTGCAACTTTTATTGGAGCTTACAAGTAGGTTGCAAATTTGAAGAGGACATCCCAGCCCCCCTAGGTGGGAACGGCTGTCCTTCTGCCACTTTCAGAGTGATGTTTTCAAAAGGAGCCCTGTACGAGTTGAGTGCCTTGTTTCAGGTGTTTCGAATTTTGCCTTTGTTTTCTCTTCAACTGGCTGAATTTGGGGTCCAAATTTGCGACACGCCGAACTACATGGCTGGTGGTTGGTGTGTTTAGCCGCTTGGACCTTTTGGAAGCAAATTACCTTCCAGCAAAACCAAAAAGAAACAGGTGAAGAGCAACCCAGACTATAGACAAAGGGTTGAAACGGACACAACATCTGAGCCACACGCCATGGCCAAGCTCTCAGTGAACCCTGTCAGTACTGCCTCGGCCTCTGGGGCGAACGGAGTCGAATGGGGGCCTTTGACCATGGGCCCATGCCGCGGCGCTTGAGGAAAATTTACGAGGAGTACAAGGAGCATGGTTTGCTACGGGCAAATGGCCGACAGTTCAAACGGAGTTGTTCTTTTCCAGACCCCTTATTTGGCACCGATCGGCTCTGCGCGTTTTGCCACAAAGTGGAATCAGTTGGAGCACAACTCTGGTTGATCTTCGGTTTCATCAGCTTGCATTGGTCTTAATGTCACTGATACCACCTATCCCCAGCATTGAACTGTATGTGTGCCCTATGGCTAAAGGTCCCGCGGGCCAAATGGTCTGTTTCTGGCCAAGAAGGCCGGATAGGGTCCGTATCCTTATTTGGGGGTTCGCCATTTCACCCCCCTCCCCTTTTCTGGGGGCCCTCTTTCGAAGCTTGCTAAGAGGGAATGCTATGAGTGGAATATTGTCAGGAGTGATCCGTTCAGCAACATAGCTGCCGTTAGGCATCAAGCGCACATTTTGCACATGAGCTTGCAAAGAAAGGTATGTTTCCAGGGAGCATTGGGCGCCTGACAGCTTAAGGCATGGGTTTAAGGACTTAGTAGGGCCTTAGCAATGAGTTCAGGCCTTGGTGAGGCCTTGCCCCGGGCTTGGTAGTGCCTCAAAAGTTGCTGGAAAAGGGCAATGTGGAGCATGGCTGCCGCTGAAGCAACACACCCATCGTGGATGGCTTTGGCCACCTTGGAAATTAGGGTCCCGAAAGGGGAAGCACAGCCACACGCTCACAGCACACATGTTTT